AAATCCTCGGCTGCCTGTGTGGTACCAGTTATCCTCACACAGCGGAACTCCCGAAACCGTACTAATATATTTAAAATATACATATATATAATATTTATATGTATACTTACAACGTATTCCCGCGCTGGTTGCGCTGCTCGGTCACTCCTGTCCTTGTTAGCTGCAGCGCTATTCGCGTAATGAGCTCTGTCGCTGCCGACGTCGTTTGCTTTTGAGAATGAAAGAATTCTAGAATTTAAATTGACCAATAGGAATGTCGCATCGCATTAGTAAATATGCTATATTTGTAATTTACGCATTACTAAGAGAATTCTAGAAGGTAGGTGTAGGCTAAGCGATAAGCGGTATTGCATGTAAAGGAGTTATAAAGCCAAGGCAACTCCATAGGTTTATGCGCTTAGACGTTCAACACACGGACGTTCAGACAGACAGACACCGCACTAGCCTACTGAGTATAGACTCGCCTACAGAGTATAGATATTTTATCACTATTAGTTTTAAAAAAGAAGATTCGATTAACCGTGTGATCGGCTAAGCACAACGGAAATCCCAGTCATAAAAAATGCGGATGGTCTTACCTCGACAGTCTTGTTCTATTCCGAAAAATGCCAAATACTGTCATTGTAATCTGTTTTAAAATCGAGGTCTACTCTGAGATAATCCGGAATTCTGCAAAGGCTCTAGTGATGCTGCCAAGCTCGTTGGGTTCGCCTCTAAGAGCGACCTCTTTCCGGCCTCTCTTATATTGGAACCATCGCGCCCCACCTCGAAGCCGGCTGCGAGTGCTCTTCAAGTCTGTCGGAGTGAAAGGACCACCCAAAGAACACCGTCTGCTCCAACACTTCCATGCAGATGTTTCAGCACTGATGAAGACACGTGCGAGCTGATCGAGTGGGATCATCTGGCCGTCGAGTGATGACACAGCAGGCCACATACGGTTCGACCAAGAAACACCAGAATCGAAGAGCATGAGAAGCCATTAGTGGAACGTTGACCTACAGCCCAACAGCTAACCGTCTGGCGTTTTGTTCACACCAGCCTACTGCGCTAGCGGATTTCTTCTGCTGCATCGTCTATACGCTCGCAGAGAGCTGATCGATATTCGGTTGCCTCCTTTGCGCTAAACTCAATTGTTGTCTAATTTGGTATGATTTGCGTGGTTGAAGTTGATGATCTTTCAACGCACTGAGGTGTTTCGCGATTTTCCCCGTTAGTTCACCCACGTAGTAAGGCAAGTAACGCCCGCAATTACTGGGTTCTTCTGCTGAGTCTTCGTGATGAGTACAGCGGCGTCCCACTCACTACAGATGGTTGTTGCAGACACTGTTGAAATGTGTGGTCGTCTTACCAACTCCACACACAGTACGAACGTAGTAAGTCGTACGACACAAAAGGGAGAGTGAGATTGATCTTTACTCTTCATACGCTTTGCCTCCTTATTGCTTACGCCACGTGGAAGCCTCACAGCCTCACAGTCCTCAGATCGTACCACTCGAGTACCACACCCAAATGCATATCCGAAGATCTAGTGCGGCTGCCCAACGCTCACTTGTCAATAGTCGCCTCCGCTCGCGACCCTTCCTTTTTAACACTCCTCCTCGTCGGCACTGCTTCTGATCGTCTTCTCAGTCTCAATGCAGCCCCACTACAGATCGCAGTTCGTCAAGCCGTTGCACACACAGCGCCTTCGTCAACACGTCAGCAGGCATGCACCTCGTCTTTCTATATTCCGGCATTGTCACATCCTTCCGCGCGTAATCCCCCACAAACTTCACTCATATGTCGACGTGTTTCACCTTCGCGGACGACTCTTCTCCATCCAACTGTGTCAATGCTGCCTGGTTGTCTACGCGCAGCGGCATTGGCTCCATTAGCACGACTTTCAGCTCTCTGATCAGTTGTCGCACTCCGAGTAGTTCCTGTCCAACGACTGACGCCGCTACGAACTCGGCCTCCATGGTCAACAAAGACACTCCACGCTGTTTCTTACAAGTCCAACTGATGGGCATCCCGTCCACTGTAATCAGCCCTCCCGTTACCGACTTGCGATCTTCCTTGTCTGCAGCGTAGTCTGCGTCGCTGTAACCAACGATCTTGAGTGGCTCCTGCCGTCCACAATCCCCTTTCATATGCAAGCGCAGCCCCTTGGTTCCTGCAAGGTACCAGAGCACTCTTTTGGCCAGCTTCCAGTCCGATATCGTCGGTGTATGCGTCCGTCCGGACGCTTTGTGCACTGCAAAGGCAATGTCAGGCCTAGTGCAGCGCGACACCCATAGCAGACCTCCTACTAATGATTGAAACGTCTCACTGTAACCGTATCATCGCCCCCACGAACCGGCAGCAAATTTTTTTTGCTGAGCTCTCGCTCGTTGCATTCTTCACCAATCGGCGACCGTACTCCATGGGCGTGTTACATGCCGTGCTCCCTAAGCATTTCCACTATAGTCACCTCTTGGTCGAGATTGTACCCGTGCACGTCGTCATACTCGATACGCACGCCAACGAATTTGCTCGCCTCACCCAAATCTTTTATCACCAGCCCCGAGAGCTCACCGAAAAATTCGTCCACCGCTCCCTGCTTCGTGCCAGTAACGAGAAGATCGTCAGCGTACTCGCCAACCACCAGTATCTCAGCCCCCTGGCGTCTATGATACACGCACATATCGGTGTTTGAAGCCTATACGCTTGAGTTCGCTGTGCAGCAACTTACTCCACAGTCTCCCTACCTGCTTGAGCCCATATAGAGTGTGGTGAAGCGCTTGAGAAATTTGGAGAATGTGAGACGGATGGAAAT